GCCCTGCGGGTCTTCTCAGGCAGCTCGCAGATGTCACTTGGAGCCGTAGCTTTGGAAGCCGGTTTCGGCGGGGGCCCCCTCATCCGTCAGGCTCCCCACCGGCGGTTTAGGAAAATGGCTTTTGCAACCGAAAGAGAGATTGTTGTGATCCTCTGGCTGTCAATAGTTTGCGTGTTCTGGGACTGGCGCTGATTTTGATGCATGACTCTAGTGCCTGTGCAACGTGTTGCTGCAGATATGTTGCAGTTTGAACAGTGTACTCTTTCGTAGGTGCATTGCCCTGACAGGCTATTTGACTGTCTGTTTGTTTCTCCTGGTCGCACAGACAAACAGCAACTCCTTGCGGTGGCAAATGGGTGTGTCTGTTTTTTGGAGACCCCCCAAAATGCTGGTTTTAGATAGCGGAAAAAAAAGAGGGACATCCGGACACACCCAAAGTGTTGCTTGTGCAAGTCCGTCCGAACTCTACGAGCTCAAGCTGCCAGCGCCGTTCACCGAAAAAGCCGCCGTTACGCAGCGAAGAAAAGCCGCGGCATGGCGCACGTGGTCTTCTTCAACCTCGCGCAGGCGGGGCACATCAACCCCACGCTGCCGCTGGTGGCTGAGCTGCGCGCAAGGGGCGTAAAGGTCACCTACTTTGTGGACGAAGGCCTCAAAGAGGCACGAGGACGAAAGGACCAAAGGGGACTAGGAGCCAGATCCGGAAAACGTGTTGCGGGCTGCTGCTTGCAGTACCCAAGACTCCCGTGATAGGCTGACCTGGCTAACACACCAAAGCCTGGAAGAGACAAGAACTTCCATTTGCTGAAATGAAAATGTATTTTCCCTTGTTGGGTTTTAAAATAATTCATCACCACTGGACATATTTTCTCATATTTTTGTCCTGGGGCCCTCACCAAATGGAAGACAAAGGAACAAGCAGCCCGAGCTCCGCTGAAAGAAGATGAGGGGAGGGGGTTTTGGTGTGCAGTGTGCATCCGTGTAACTTTCTTGTCTGGTTAGGGGTGGGGATATGTTTTGTCATGTTCCCGAGTCGCCAAAAAAAGGTCGAGGTTTCCTTTTGGTTGCTCTGTCTGTTGCCCAGTGGTGCCCTTTTTCCCCTTTCTTTGGGAAGGGTTCCCCTTAAAACTCGACCAACAAAAACCGGGTGCTCTTTTTTCCCCCATGGCCACTGGGCATCTGAGCACTCCCGTTTTCTATTTGGCACTGCGAAAAGCACAAAAAAAAACGCACGGCGCAGGGAGAAGGGCTCTGGCCAGAGCTACAAGAGCCGAAAGCAATGCCACACCTAGGTCCCCCAGTGCCAAGTTTCTCACCAACTTTGTGGTTGTTTTGGTAGAAAAATACATGGCTGTGGCTCAAAAAACCGGTACCAAAATGGAACCCTGGTAAGTGGAAAAATGGACCAAAACCTGCGTAACCCCCCTGTTTAAGTTTGAGCCACACCCACATGGGTTCCCCAGGTTTACCTGGTGGCTTAATCATCTACCAGGGAAACCCATCTATTTGCCCTAAAAGGACACCTATGCTTGTTCCCCGTAGTTTCACGGTGGCAACCGCCTTTCGCAACGGGACGATTTGGCGCCAAGTCCTCACAAGCCTGCTTGGGAGGGGCGCTTCAGACTCATCCAATTTAGTAGCTGGACTAAGCTAACTCTTGGTAAGACTGTTGGAGGTGATGGGATCCGAATGGTATTGGGATCCACCTTTGTGGGACAGCCCCATGCCTTTCTACGTGGACTTGAGAGACATATCTCGGCGTCAACGCTGGGGAACCCTCCACAATATTGGTATCATGTTGGCTTACTTTCTGCATGGGCCTAAAGTAAGGTCACGCACCTCTTTACGCCCCGCTGCTTTCACGCGCTCTTCGACACCTCCGCGAAAGGCGCTGGCAGGCGTAGCACTTTCACCAGCATGAGCCACCAAGAGGTGGCAGTTTTTCATGGTTTTTACATGACTCCAACACTGCTTTGTTGAACCCCCAGTGTGTTCAAGTGCTCATGCCCAAAGCAGCCAGAAACATCAAAACTCCAGCCGTGCGCAGGCATGTGTGCAGTGGTGCACGGGCTCAGTTGAACGGGCGGCATGTGTGCAGTGCACGGGCAAACTGTACCTGTTCCAAAATTGTCAAAAACCCCATGTGCCTCGCACTGGGCTCCAAAATTCGTCACACTCCATGCGCCTCGTACGTCAAACTCCATGCGTCCCGTAGGCGCGTGGCGCGTGAACCAGACCTCCCGGTGTCCTGATCCCACTCCCTCCACTTGGCCGTCGGCTCCGCAGGTCTGCGAGGCCGCAGGCGCCGTGTGGCGCTACTTTCAGCCCACCGAGAAGGCCACGGAGCAACAGCTCGCCAAGTACGGCGCCAACGCAGAGGATCAGAGCTCGGGGCCCCAGAAGAGAGGTTCAGGCGGCGGCTTGGCGCCCCCCAAATGGTGCAACGGTGTTCCCCAGTGTTTTTTTGTTTGAAAGCCACCGAAGAAACGACACCCGCAAG